ACTTGTGACTGTCTGTTCCTGTACTTGTGACTGTCTCTTCCTGTACTTGTGACTGTCTCTTCCTGTACTTGTGACTGTCTCTTCCTGTGACTGTCTGTTCCGGTGACTGTCTGTACCTGTGATTGTCTGTTCCCATGACTGTCTGTACCTGTGATTGTCTATTCCTGTACTTGTGACTGTCCGTTCCTGTTCCTGTGACTGTATGTTCCTGTACCCGTGACTGTCTGGCCCAAAAGAGAAGTGGAACCTACAGAACGTCTTTCAGAGTAAATCTATATCACGGTATGCATTATCCCACGGTTGGACGGGAGGCCGCAGATTACCCTGTGTCAAACTCAAACAACCATTACACAAGGAGGCCTGGAGAAAGCACCAGCTCCCGATATGCTAACTCCAATACTTGTGATGTGTTGCTTCTGATTGATAAACCCCTTGGCCTACACAGCACATAAACTCTATGGAGTGGAGCAGTCCCGAATTAATGTGGTTTTCAGCCGCAACTTTTGTCAAAACAGGACGCAGTTTAGCAAGTAGGTCCCGCCTCCCCACGATTTCTCAGAAGGCCCCAGTGAATTGAGGTGAGGTGAGGTGAAATTGGGTTTAACGTCGTGCTTGAGAATATTTCACTCATATGACGACCCCAGTGAATTGAAGTCTAAGACCTCAATCAGGACAGTCTATGCCTTTAAACATCCCCCAGACACACGCTGGAAGGCAGTGAAAGGGAACACAGCCCGGTGCTCAACTTGTTTAAAGTTCAGTACCAATCAATCACCCAAAAATGAGAAAGGAACCAAGGAGAGGAACGCTTCGAAAACCTTACAGATGATCGGAAATTGCTCAGGGAGTAGAGGTCAACAAGTGGAATGTCGACCACCTCTGCACAGGTGCAAGACTGGCCTCACAGTTGCTGCGCTAGCACCAATGAACCAAACTGGTGAAGACCCTACATATCAGTGATGGACAGTCTCGGAGATAGTGATAGGCGAAGACCGTATCCGACTAGTGTTGTGAATTGTTTAAAATCTCATAATTGATGATTGCAATCATCGAAGGTAATTGGTTAGCGTCATTTATCAAACTTTCCTGGTTGTTTATTTCTTGCATATTGCACAAAATGCATTTGCAAATTTCACATCTTTAAAGGATGACTAGTATCTTAGGAACATAAATTTACTGGAGTCTTTTAAGATAAATTCAATCATGACTTGGAACGAGCCTGTACTGGTAATGAAATGTAACAGACAAAACCCACCTTGTGAAAAATATTGTTAATGCAAACAAGTGTTCAAAAATTGTTTGAGTTCAATTATGAGAAAACATGATCGATTGCTTGGTCGTTTAGTCATTGCGACCAATCTTCGATTATTTCAATTAATCAGACCACCACTACCTACTACTGAGGGTTGGCAGTAGTAGGCAGTGGAAGATCAGCGTAGGCATAGGCACGAAGGATGGTAGACCTCGTCCAAAATGCCAAGGTGGTACGTGAGATTTCTGCAGATGAGACTGTAGAGAGAGGAATGAACAGTCTCTTACGTAGCCTATGACGTTCACTGGAGGCAGCAAGACACACCCATAAAGCCCGGACAGGGCATAGGGAGAGATCCTCAGTGTCGTCAGGGCCTAGGATTGTAGACAGTGGCAGAATAACGAAGAGTCTGTCCAGATGTCCTGGCAAATGGTTCTTGGTGATCCCACCTCCAACCTAGAAAACCTTTGGCATGCCTTTTCCTCTCAAAATGCACCCGGTTGACGTCCAGCGTACTCTGCGCTGGTGGCCGGAACTTCCGAGACTGGTCAGCAGCCTTGTGATCGCAAGAGGGACTGGACTTCAGGGAGAGATGATACCTTGACACCTGAAGCTGTGGCAATGACCGTGTTAGGTCCGAGCATCTAGGTACGTGGCCAAAGTTTAGCCCTTCAACTTCCAGGAAGAACGTAGATGCTGTAAATATTCGGCTACCATCTGTGGTGATGCTGTAGTCGGGGAAGTAATGGCCTTCTTCTTGCAATATGCCTCGAAGTTCTACCATTTATCTTCGTTGAGTGAATGGGTGGAAGTACGTTGAGCTGTGGTTACTGACGTAGCCCCACGCTTTGAATAGCCCTTCGCAATCAGCAATTTATGCAAATGTGCCAAGCGTGTAGATTGAGCGTTTGCAGCGACGAATGGAGCTGATCCGAGTGAGGGTGGAGCAGAAGGTCGTTGGGAAGCGGTACTGGGTGTGGATTGGCCAGCCTTTGTAGATCGACGAACCAAATTCTGGCCGGCCAATAAGGCATGACCAAAAGCATGCGTCGGCTGCGTCGTTCATAGCTTGAGTAGTATTCGAGGGAGTAACGCCAGTGGTGGAAAAGCATATGCGTTGAGGCCTTCCCAAGGTATCGCCATTGTTCTCATGCCAGAGGATCCGGAATCGGGGACACAAACTTTGGAAGGTGAGCGTTGAACCAGTTTGCGAAGAGATGCACTGTCGGGCTCGACATTGGAAAACAGTGAGTCTGGATGATCTGTGGATGCAACTTCCACTCTGTCAGGGATGGTCGAGCTGATCGGGACAGTGAATCGGCAATGATGATCTTTATCCCTGGAATGTGATTTGCCCTGACCGTGATGTTCAATGAGTCCAAAGGCTGAAGAACTGTGGAGTGCCCAGTGAAGTAGCTGTGGAGAACCAAAGGATCCCATCCGGTTGATATACATCACGACCGTGGCGTTGTCCGAACGAAGAAGAAGGCAGGTTGACTGAAGAAGATGCTGCCAATGAGTTACCGCCCAAATGACTGCCCTGAACTCCAAGAAGTTGATGTGACAAGTCTGATCTGAGAGAGACCACAGCCTTGCCACTTGAAGATCGAGTAGGTGAGCTCCCCACCCGTGTAGAGAGGTATCTACGAACAGATGATGCACTGGAGCAAACGACCTGAAAGAGATTCCGCCGCAAACATTTGATTCGTCCAACCACCATTGAAGATGGGGATGAAGCTCCGTGGGATATGAAATTAGCGTGTGGGGATCGCTGATTCTCATGTGCAGATACAGAAACAGTTGTAGTGGCCATAGTTGAAGCTGTCCCCTGAGAGTGAGCCCTTCAGCCGACATCAGCAAACCAAGAAGTTCTTGCCACTGACGGAGAGTTGTGGGTTGCATAAGTGCTAGGGGTATCAGTTGTAGAATCTTGAGGAACCAATCTCTGGGAACAAACAGTTTGCTGAGATTCGTGTCGAACACCGCCTCGATGAATTGGAGACAGCGTGTTGGAACAAGTTCTGACTTCTTTAGATTCACAAGCCAGCCTTACTGGCGAAGAAGCTTTATCGTGAAACTGCAGAATCCGCTGATCTGTCTGCACTTGAATGCAGTCGTCGATGTACGCTTCGAAAACAATCCCTCTGTGGTTGTGAAATCATGTGACTGGCTTCCTAACCCGTGTGAATAACCATGGGACTGTGGAAATACCAAATGGGAGGACACGCCACTGATAGTGGATGCCGTCGTAGATGAAACGGAGAAACTTGTGATATTCGTGGAAAATCAGCATTTGGAATTAGACATCTTGCAAGTCCAGGCTGACCATGAAGTCACCCGGCTTGATGATGAAGGGCCACCGAGACCATCCGGAAGTGGGGAGGTTGTTGGGGGCATGTTGCGTTGAATATCTTCATGTTCAACATTAAAGGCAGTTTGTCCAAGTCTTTCTTCAGAACCAGAAACATCTGAGAGTAAAATCCCCGAACATCGGGTGCCGGGGGCTAGAGAAGCACCGACCAGAGAAATCTGTAATCCGATGGAAAGAGTTGACTGAAGGAAGTGGTCTTCCAGTACCGTCCAGTTGAGTGCATAATCTCCAAGTCTTCTGCCGACTGGTGAGACTACCACTGGCACAACTGGAGGCGGAAGTTCCCAGTCATGCAGCAATGTCACAGAGTCACTGCTTCGAAGATCCCGACACAGGGGGCTGTACCGTCCTGGCAGTGCCACGAGAGCTGGAGAAATAGTGTTGCTGTCGTGTGGGATGTCCATGGGAGAATGATCGACACCCAAGGGGAGCTGAAGACGTGGTGCGTAAATTCGGGATAGCTCTCAACGGATTGTTGCATACTAGTGGTGGTCCGATTAATTGAAATAATCGAAGATTGGTCTGATGACAAAATGACCAATCAATCAATCATAATTTCTCATAATTGAACACAAACAATTCTGGAACACTTGTTTTCATTGACAATATTTTTCACATGGTTGGTTTGTCTGTTCCATTTCGTAAGCACTACAAGCTCGTTTCAAGTCATGATTGAATTTATCTTAAAGATTCCAAGAAATTTATGTTCCTAACATACTACTCATCCTTTAAAGATGTGAAATTTTGCCCCAAACACACCCCCAAGAACTACAGATTTTTCCTTATTTTTATGTGTATTAACAAATTTCATAAATGATGCTAACCACTTATGTTCGATGATTGATCGGTAGTAATGAATCAATCATCAATTATGAGATCTTAACCAATTCCCAACACTACTGCATACGCTGAAACTTCAGGAGCTCAACTGAAACCTGAAGTTGTGTATCTTGCACGACTTTAGTAGCTACCTCACTGGTAGCCCTATTAAAGAGTGTGCATCCAGACCAGGGCTGGCGAAATAGATCCGTTTTAGACCCATCCTCCCACCACGACAGATTCAAAGGTCCCCTACACCTGAGAGCCGTCAGGTAGGAGAAAAAGTGTGCAAGCTGATCCAGTACTGTCGGGAACTGCTCCTGCATCAGAACCATGGCTCCTCTAATGTAGGCCTGTTCAGGCATCAACTCATGCGCAAGTGGCTTTAAGGATCATAATAAAGGGAGTAAGGATCTTGTGTACTGACGAATCCAAGTGACACAACATCCTATTTTCTACTAGAAGTGGGGTGTACGTATGTTGTTTGGTCCCTAACAAAGCAAGATCAGTTGAGTGATACATGGTCGAGGCGGGAAGGTGATGGACCATAAATGTCGCATGTCAAAAGAGGAAAGCAGATCTGACGGACACCTACTCCTGGGTAAGTTCAAGTTATCCGCAATCCACGTCAGCAGTTGGGGTGTCTCTACTGCATCTGAGGTAGACAGACACTCTGAAGGAGGAGAAGGCATGGCAGAAGTGAGTGCTTCATCCAATGAGGGACCCGACGATGGTTCATGCAAACCCGGAGGAGTAGCAGTCGCTTGGGGAGGAGAGGCAGAGGCTACTGCTCAAACAACTGAGTCCAAGGCGAAAGGCTGGGAACCAGCATTGTCTCTTGAAGGATCCCAACCAAAGGCAGAGGCTACTGCTCAAACAACTGAGTCCAAGGCGAAAGGCTGGGAACCAGCACTGTCTCTAGAAGGATCCCAACCTAAGGCAGAGGCTACTGCTCAAATAATTGAGTCAAAGTCGAAAGGCTGGGAATCAGCACTGTCTATAGAAGGATCCCAACCTAAGGCAGAGGCTACTGCTCAAACAATTGAGTCAAAGTCGAAAGGCTGGGAACCAGCACTGTCTCTAGAAGGATCCCAACCTAAGGCAGAGGCTACTGCTCAAACAGCTGAGTCAAAGGCGAAAGGCTGGGAACCAGCACTGTCTCTAGAAGGATCCCAACCTAACGCAGAGGCTACTGCTCAAACAACTGAGTCCAAGGCGAAAGGCTTGGAACCAGCACTGTCTCTAGAAGGATCCCAACCTAAGGCAGAGGCTACTGCTCAAACCATTGAGTCAAAGGCGAAAGGCTGGGAACCAGCACTGTCTCTAGAAGGATCCCGACCTAAGGCAGAGGCTACTGCTCAAACAACTGAGTCCAGGTCGAAAGGCTGGGAACCAGCACTGTCTTTAGAAGGATCCCAAGAAACCAGACTAATCGGACGGGAGGCTGTAGACTAAACCGTCACAGGAGCTGAACCTGGCAAAGTAGATGACGTTGTAGAGGGAGTGATGTCACACCTGGCCGGAGAGGGACTGTCACCTTGACAGGCCCTGCTGAATCTGTAGATACTGCTGACCTGGCAGTAGTAATCGAGATTGCTGAATGAGCAGGAAGCGCCGTGTTGTATTGGAGAGCCGTACTGGTATGAAACATTGAATCAAAGTAAAGTGGCGCACTGATCTGAAGCGCTGAACTGCAGTGAAACGGCGCACATGTCTGAAGTGCTGGAGTTAGAGGGATCGCCGTAGACAAGCTCGCACTACAATAACCTACAATAAGTGACTATAGACATGTTAATTGCTGAGCCAGAAAAGAGAGATACACTGCCAGTAGGTGCTGACATTGCCGTACCGGGTGTTTGAGAAATTGGCACTAAAACTGTCGGTCGGGACTGTGATCGCGATGTATGAAGCACTACCAAACGAGGGGGGGAGTCAGTCTGTCTCAACACTGGACTCGATGTCTGGGGCCTGAATAAACGGCTTAAACCCTCTGAGGTAGGAATCCGATACAGCATCAAGAAATCACTACGTCCGGGTATGGTGATGAACGGCAAGCTGTTCAGAAGGCCTCCGACGGCCACTGTCTGCCACTCGTCTTGTGCCCACTCTACGATAAGCGGTAAAGAACCACTAAACTTTGTTTTGTTACTCTTTAACCATTACATATGAAAGATTTGTGGTTAGTCTTATGCGGAACACCAAATTTATTCTTTAAAAACTTGTGGTTAATTAATACCGAGCGATTAAAAGTGGCCAAAAGTCGCCTGCTTCCCTCTCGCCCGCCAACGAAACCACAGACAGGTTACGTAACTCTGTCGCCAGAGCACTGCAGTGACGTCATATGAGGAACGATTTTCAGTTAGTTGTATAGAAAATGTGTAGCACGCTCATCATTTTGATGATTTCTCGACATCAACGATGACATGCCGAATCGTTGCTTTGTCGTCAATTGCTCCTAGGGGTCGGGCGATGGTGTCCCCATGCACAGATTTCCACAGGACCCCGCAGTTCGTGCTAAATCGGTTATGTTTGTGAGTGCGAAGCGAGCGTTGTGGAAGCCTGAAACGATATCTTACTTGTGTTCAGATCGCTTCACTGAAGTTAAAGAATCAAAACTACTTACTAGTTGTTGTAAAATATGCATATGATTGATGACCATAAAGATTTTCTATGACACAACTTGTAACATAACGATTTCTTCCTCGGAAGTGAGGTTGTGGTCGAAGTAACAATAATATTGTAAGTAGTATTATATTGACACCCACCTCGCTGCCACGAGAGAAATTGTTATGTTATACGCTATGTCATGCAAAATCCTATTGGCCATCAATAAAATACATATTTTACTACCAGTAGAAAGTAGTTTTGATTTTGTAACTCGGTGAAAACAAACCTAAATACCATTTATCCTCAGACTGGCGGATGTTCCCGACAGGGCGCCGCCATTTTAAAAATAAAAAAATCTGTTAGAATTAATGAGATTATAGTTTGTTTTCATCAAGTTAGATAATCAAGACTACTTTCTACTCGTAGTTAAATATGTATTGGAATCATAACCAAACGGATTTTGCATGACACAACTTATAACATAACGATTTCTTCCACGGAAGCGAGGTGGGGGTCGAAGTCACAATACTGCGCGATAAATGTCTTGCTACATTCCCATGGTTAATGTCCACTCACCAGTATGTTAATACTAGTCAGTGTGCGTCTTTATATTTGGTCTTATAATCCTAATTAGTTTATTATCATACTTGTATGCATTTTGAAACTAAATACAAAGCAGACGATCTGCTGATACTTATAGTGAATTTATAACAGAACTGTAATATCTAGACATTTTATAGTTTGCCAATGTGAATCATAATTCGCACACACACCCTAGTGCATGTTGTCTGACTCATTACACTTCACGGCGAAAACAATGATTCTGTTGAATGCTACGACAAATGAATAAAATCAAAATGCAAATATTAAAATTAAAACAGATTAAAGTTATAGGAACAATATCAGGCCATTACCTTGTTCGAGGAATGTATCCATCAATATCCACAAAACTGTTCCAAATGATGTGTCTTTTAACAGTTTAATATACGAAAAAGTGATAAATCTTTTCAGGTATTGGTGTATAGTCTCATTGGTCACCCAAGATAGCACACCTGGCAACTAATTGCATAATGTCCGCCTTTCTTTAAAAACAGTAATTTAGTTAGCCAATAATGGGCAATCAATCAATGTATTGCCGGTTAATCCTTTGAAAGAAGGACGTTGTTTTTACGCAGACACCGACACGACAGAGTGTATTCAGTATAGATTAGTAAATCTACATACATAAACACTACCTTTTGACAATTCCGCTGTGTAAGATAAAAGTAATTAATCAATCAGCGTGTTATCGGTTAATCCTTTGATCGATGTTTATAATGTTGAATATTTACTCCAGACACAAGAAATGCCAAATGGGAACCTTTGTCGGGTAATCTAAGTGTGTTACCACTAATTATACCTGTTATAAATTCATTAACTGACCATCAAGTGAATGATGACAAATAACATGTGTAGGTTTATACCACCTAACACGGGTTACAACAAGGAGTATTAATTGCTGTATTGCATGTGAAAACTTATGGGCCGACACTGTTTTGAGAATACAAACAGATTTTTACATGACATGATTAAATATCGAGGTAAAAAAACACAGAAATGGGATCGATTTGGATCAGTCATTATACAAATAGGGCCTAACGACACCAATCGATTTTGACAGAATCGTCTATGAAAACAAGTTGTAACTCGGAAACTAGGCAAAGCAGGAGACAAAATTAAATGACAGTAGATTGTGAGAACATATAGCTTTTATTTTCCACAACAATTGTCACGATTTCAGGTTTATACAAGCCTGTAAACAAGATAATTTAACCCTAAAATGTAGATGAATTCTGCATCGGCCCTCAAAGCTATTCCTCATATGACGTCACAGAGGCGCGCCGCTCTGATTGGTTGAAATTTCGTTCGCGGGTGAGAATTGTGCACTGTTGTCAAAAGGTCGATTTAAGTCAATTAAAGGTCGAAATGAGTAGTTTTAATGACGGGGTTTCATTTATAACGATGCCAGTTAGTGATTTATGTATTTGTACCCCTAGGGTTTATGTGACCTTTAATAATGGGTTTAACACTTTGAGCCTATGTGGGGAATCGAACCCGGGTCTTCGGTGTGACAAGTGGATGCTTTAACCATCAGCCTACCCTACCTCCCAGGGCAGCAACAGCAATATTCACCACCAGCAATTCCCATGTTGAGGAAGTCAGCAGCAGCAATATTCATCACCAGCATGTTTGGGGAAGTCAGCAACACCATCAGCAACCATTACGTTCAAAAACTCATCAAAGCACTATTTCCCTCAGCAATCACTATGTTCATAAATGCAGCACCAGCTTCAGCTGCAGCACAGACAAAATAATACAGACAAAGCTGTCACAGACAGGAATGTTTCCTTGTGACACACTGTTTCGTGACATTTTTGGTGTGTGAGGGTGGAGTGATAACATATGCTTTTACAGTAAACTTGAGTGTTGTTTTCACCAGAGACCATGACTCATTTCTTCAACAATCACTTGTCTGTTGTTTTTTCGTAGTGTTAAGATTGTTTGTTCCACAGATTCAGAAATATTCACATTTCTAAATAAACTTGCGTTTCTTTTGCGGTTCAGTATATTTTCGATCAGAGATATATTTTCACAGCCACTGTTAGTGTTAGTCAGTAGGGCCAAGTCATCTATTTCCCGAGACGGGTGTTTTGTGATGTGAGTGTGTGTTGAGAGATGGGGGTGGGCATGGACAAATGAGAACTTGCAACATTTGGGTGTGGTGGTGAGAGAGAGCACATAATTACTCAAACATAATTAAAAATAAGTCATATCAGATAATTATCCACCAGGGACTGGTCCCCTACCATGTTAAAATGGGTATGTGAATTTTGTGTGTGTGCGTGTGTGTGTTAGGGCATGATTAAAATGTTGACTCTCATTCTTTCTCTTTAAGGAAATGTACAATAAACAAAATGAAAATGACTGCTCTGCACTTGCATAAAACTTAGGTATTAATGGACCCCTTGTAAAAACATCATGGCAGCTATATAGGTAACTTTTAACCCACTTTCAAAAATGGGAAATCAGGGAAATATGTTCATTCAGATAATGTATTTCTTTGTGGATTTTATTTTTGGCAAATGTGAAAATGCTACTTTAATGCTATTTTTTAGGATGTACATGGCGGCATTTCACATCAATGAAAACAGCCTAAATACTCCTAGAAGTGACCAAGACTGGAGAACCCAACTGGGCAATCAGCTACCCCTAGGCCTAAACCAAGAGGCCAAGCCAGTGAACAAGAAAGTACATGGTAAATATAATTCAGACAATCAATAATCTTGTGTTGAACTGGTGCACTCCAGTTTGAAAAACAAAACAAAACACTGTTCCTATTACTGCATGTTTTTCCCAAACCAATGAGTCAACACCAAGTCTTGTTTGCAAAGACACTGGTTTTTAATCCTCATATCTATTTTCCCTCTCAGCATTTGTTAAGACAAACGTACTTACTTTTTTAGTGCAGATTTCAAAGAAAATTATTATTTTGTTGCCAAAACAAAATATACTGAAATTGTGTTACAAAATGTCTCTAATTCAATGTAAAATTTATTCACAGAGTTTGTTGAACTCTACCCAGTAGGCCATTCTCGGGAGAAGAAACATGTTTCCTTCCTACAGCCTTGCAGGACAAACAGCCTATATTTCCAGGATATTCTGCCTGACACTTTCATTTATAACTAGTAAACAGGAACTGGTGAATTCACAGACATCAAGATATATACTACCGACAAAAAATATGGGAACTGATGAAATGACAGTGAATGTGAAATTGCTCTGAATGTTCACTAAATCAAATGTGGGCG